CGTAGGAAGTGGGCAGGACAGCGCAGAGAGCCCGCGCATCTCCATCGGGAACCCCGTCCGGGTGGCAGGCACCGGCTCCTGTTCCTCCAGGAGTGCGTGTCCAGTGCCTTCCCATCACGTGACTGGGTACCACACCCTCACCTCGCCCTGTGCCAGGCCACGTCGGCCTGGAGGGACAGAGTGGCCATCGGCTTCCCTGGCGTCCAGCCTCCTGCAAGCCCTGGTCCAGGCTCCATGATCTCCATCGGGAACCCCGTCCGGGTGGCAGGCACCGGCTCCTGTTCCTCCAGGAGTGCGTGTCCAGTGCCTTCCCATCACGTGACTGGGTACCACACCCTCACCTCGCCCTGTGCCAGGCCACGTCGGCCTGGAGGGACAGAGTGGCCATCGGCTTCCCTGGCGTCCAGCCTCCTGCAAGCCCTGGTCCAGGCTCCATGCCCACCTGGGGGTGAGGGTGCTGGGGCCTCGCTCAGAGCCCTCCCCGTCCTCCCGGGAACCCCAGCCTCCGCCGCCCCCTGGCTCCAGCTGCGGTTTTCATCGTTGGGATTATAAACCTCGCTGTGGCAGCACCACAGATACAAGTATTCCTTTGAAGGGCATTATTTTATTTTTTTAATGTATTTTTATTGATTTCAGAGAGGAAGGGAGAGGGGGAGAGAGACATCAGTAATGAGAGAGAATCATCAATCGGCTGCCTCCTGCACGCCCCACGCTGGGGATCCAGCCCGCAGCCCGGGCACATGCCCCGACCGAGAATCAACCGGCCTCAGCCACTGAGCCGCGCCGGCCGGGCTGCACAGACATTGTTCCGTTAGATCCCTGGACGCCTTCCAGGGTCTCGGTGTCTGAAGGCTCCTCCTGGTTGCTGGCCTGGGCGCTCGTCCCTCAGATGCAGGTGGGCGAGGCTGGGCACACAGCGGCCTCGGCGGAGGCTCCTGGCCGCTGCCCGGGGGCAGCTCCTGTAACGGTGCCTCTCCCTGCAGGACTGGAAGGACCACCAGCACATGTGTGGTCAGGCAGCGTCGGTCACCGTGCAGGGGGACGAAGTCCAGGTCGCCGAGGGCGTGATCGAGAAAGTCGCTGTGTGAGGGGGCACCGGCTCCCCCTCTGCGGTGCCCGGCTGTCTCGGGCCCAGGACCCCTCGAGGACTTCTCAGTGGAGTGGGGGGTGGGAGGGCATTGAAAAGGGGAAAAAACTTGCTGGCCAAGTTATGAACAGAGTTGGGGTGACCTGTGCCCTTGGAAGTGAACCCCCGCCGCCCGGAAGCCCCCAGGAAGGCCAGGGCAGCAAAGGCCGGGCCTCGGCGGCCGGGGGGAGGGGCGTCTCACGGTGCTTTTTTATTCTTGGATCACGAGGGTCCGGTCTTACCCACGGGTGTGTTGTGTGTGTAACACGCGTGTATATATATGTGTCTCAGTAAAGTCGATCCCTAACCCAATCGCAGCTCTCACCTCCCAGACACTGGGAGGCAGGTCGGCCTGCCTCAGTTTCTCCTGATCTTGTGGTGAGAAAGCCTCGACTGAGAAAGTGCACAGACCTCGGGGACACCAGGCCCTGCAGCCATCTTCCCGCCCGGCTGTCACCCCAGGAGCAGAGGCGGGAGCGAGGGCCGCGCTGCCCAGGGACGGGTCCCGCAGGCCTCGGAGCTGCTGTCCAGTTTGGAAGTCACAGCCTGTGTGTAACCTCATCCCTTTAGCTCAGGCCTGCCCCTCTGGCACTGACCACTGAGCCCCACGGTGCTGGTGGGGCCACCGCAGGGCTCAGCACCTGCGTGGAACCTGGTCCTCAGGCG